GAGTTCGGTTCCCGGTACCGGAGAAAAACCAAAAAAAAAAAAAAAAAAAAAAAAAAAACAAAACAAAAAAACAAAAAAACACAGTGGCCAGGTGCAGTGATGTGCACCTGTGGTCCCGTGAGTCCAGGAGTTCAAGGCCAGACTAGGCAACATAGTGAGACCTCAGTAAGACAAACTCCCAAAAATAAAACTAATTCCACCACAAAGTAACAAAAAAAGTCTCAGACATTTTCATTTTTCCAACACAAAAGACTGCAATAAACCATTCTATTTATTTTATAGTTCATTCCAAGTAACTCTAATCACACATTTTTTTTATTGGCAAGCATCATTTCAGAACTTCAGTAAATTATAATAAAAAGACTGAAAATTTAGCTTTAAGGAAATTCAGGAAGAATGGTGAGTGACTTTTATGCACTACTGTCAGCATTCAATTTAAGGTTTTAAAATTATATATTAAACAAATTACCAATATCTGTGCCTTCCACAGGATTTTCTGCTATCTGATCCTTCTCGTCACTTACAGGAAGTGGAGATTCGATACAAGTCTCTGGGAGACCTGCTGCTGGATGATCTAAAATGCAAAACAGAGCCCTTAATTAAGCACCATCCTTTGTAGATCACAGAACACTAATTGTTTTAATGGGGCAATGATGACAAACAGCAAGTTTTAGCTGCATGTGGTGGTACACACCTGTAATCCCAGTACCCTGGGAGGCTGAGAGAGGAGGATTTCAAATTTGAGCCCAGATAGGCAACTTAGTCACTTAGGGAGGCCCTATCTCAAAATAAAAAATAAAAAAGGCCTGGGATACAAAGGCCCTGCTTTAATCCCCATTAACACACACATACACACAGAGCAAATTTTGCTGCATGATCATCATAATTTTATTTATTTATTTGAGTCAAGGTCTTGCTATGTACTTCAGGCTGGTCTTGAACTCACGGTGATCCTCCTGCCTCAATCTTCCAAGTGCTAGGACTACAGGTGTGTGCCACCATACTCAGCCTGTAATTTTAGAAGCCCGGATAAATAGAAGTACAAGGGCAGCAGGCACAGGAAATTGTTAGGTTCTCCAGAGGTACCTACAAATCTACAGTGAGCACTTCTGCAATGAGAAGATTCTCAGGTGCTCCTACTTCATAAATCTAGATCTTGGCATAGTATATTTCCTTAAAGTAGCGATGTTCTAAGCTAATAATTGCAGCTGAAATGTTCTTATATGGAAACCAATGGCAAGCAGATTTGTCATGAATTAATGTACTTTTGCCCCCAAAAGTAGTGATTCTTTTTGAGTCTTATGGTTTTGAAATACTTGATTCATGTACTTAATTATCAATGCATAAGACTGGTAACAAAAGAAATTAACTTATCATGACTCATTTATTCTTTTACAACCTTTACCATTCCCCCGCTGCCTCCGTGAGGAACCTTTCTGGAAACTAGGAATAGTAAGTTAAACATCAGATGGCTCCCACTCTCAAGACGCTTACAGTCTACAGAGGACTACAAGATGTAAAAGCCACTTGTTCTGATCGAGGTCGTGAAAACACCAAACAACAGCAAGAGCAAAAGCCAAGGGCCAAAACAAAAAAGCCGAGGACAACATTAAGCCCTGTGGGCTGTGCACTGCCTGCCCCTGGAGAAGTAGGAGAGACAGACACACCTATTAATTATTAGAAAGGTGTGATAAGTCTTTCATAACATTATGCAGAGTGAAGTAGGGATGGAGAGGAGAGGCATGTAGATGAAACCAGTGGAAGTGAGGTGCTTAGGGCCACTTTTAAGAAGGAAAGATGATTAGTCTTAAGGCCTCCATCTTGTGAGTAAAGGTCATCCGCGAGTTATCGGGAGGGAAATGGCAAGGTTAGGAGCTAGAGCGGTAGTGGTGAACCTACAGCACGCATGCCGCAGCGCGCTGTCTGTACAGTGGCAGCTCTAAAACGCTCACCAGCCCTGAGCCAGGGCACGTAGGAGAGCGGCGGCGCTGAGGGCTGAGAGCACAGCATGACCCACACGTGCAGGTGCAGTCTATAAAGCTTAAGGACGCTCTCAGCAGCGCTCGGGAATCCTGAGGGATGAGTAAGATGCACGGGAGTTAGAAGCAATAAAATCGAGGACAACTGGAGTGTGACTAGAGCGAAATATACTACTTAGGTTTCACAGAGAAAAAAGAAAAATCAGGCGTGGACAGACTGTAAGAAAATTTAAAAAATAATCAAAGAATCCAACAGCAGTAGTAATAAGAGCAATGGTACCAGTCAACTACCTAGCCTGTGGCAGACCAGTTTCACACTTTATATATACATGTGTTTGGTTTCAATAAACTTGCACAGCAATCATCTAAGGTGGGCACTATCATTATTTCTATCTCACAGACGAGAAAACTGAAGCTCAGAAAGATGAGGTGACTTGCCGAAAACCACACAGTAAAAAGTAGCAAAACCAGATTACAATCTAGGTAACAATGGCCCAAAAGCTTTTGTTCTTTTTTTTATCAAACAGTGCCTCAGGAAAGAGGTTTATGAGATGGGGCAGAACCATCAGGCCAAGGTCAAGGGTGAAATCACGAACAAGCTGAAGCAGACTGGAGACAAGAAGCACTGAAGGGTCAGGCAGCGCTGGCAGACCTCGCGGAGCTTCTGATGGTGAACAGCCCACTGCGGCACGCGTGGCACAGCGCTGCCGCCACCGGAACAGGCTAACATGCTGGCTGAGTGGCTTGCATAGTCACTGATTCTGACGATTAAAATACAGCAAACGTCTAACATAAAATGTATTTCCCATTAACCTGTAACTAGGGGTAATGATAATAAATGTTCCCATGACTGTTCAGATCAATAATCTTTGCTGGAAGTCTACAGCCAAAAAGAAAAAATTATCTAGTAACTTACCACATTTTTCACTTGCAGGGGTTATCAAGCCCTATAAGGAGATATTAAACAGCTATTACAGCCCATTCACGTCATGTGCAAGCCTCAGCTTAGCTATCCCAAAAAGTCAAGGTCTAGCAACATTTTCAATGTCAAAGGGAGGCAAAACAAGGGTGTCTGCAACCAGGCTTAACATTTTTAAATTACACTGGTTTTTACTACGAGTACAAGTTTCTTGATAAAAACTGCAACAGCAGGAGCTACCACACAAAGGAAGATACAGCTGCATTTCGTCCAATTATGGCATCATTGATTAATAGGCATCACTAGTGTGATTCATTGTATTTTATAATGCCAACCAAAATGGATCACATTTTTTATTTCAGAGATATTATATGATGAAGAAAAATATTTAATTACCAAAACATTTCCTGAAAAATCTAAAAAGAAAAACCTACAGTGGCCAGGAGTTATCCTGAGAGGGAAAAGAACCCAGAATAACACGGTGACCCCTCCTCGCCCAGTAGTTATGTCCTTAGCTCCAAAAGTGGAACAGAGTATAAGTCACACATTTCAAAAGCAATCTCAGAAAACAATACTCATGACATTCTTATAAAGGTACGCTGTCCCTTTCAGAAATTTCTCTCTTACATTTTATACAGCATGAATGCGTATCAACAATTATGAACTATATTTAATGGTCCTAAGATGTTTTAATCACAAACAACTGTAAAATGAACTAGCAAGCATAAACACATTAAGCTATAGATGCTCCAATCTGAAAGGACTCACTTCATACTGTCTTTGTTCAGACTGTTCCTGACTGTGAAGTTCACGCCATTCAGATCCTATAGATACATCTGAGAAAAATAAAATCTTGTAATTAAAGTTATACCTTTAATTCTTAAAATTTCTTTGCATTAAAGTACATACAAAACAGGCTTAACATGTTAAGCCTTATACAATTAAATGTTAAGCCTTATATAATTTTAGAAACTATCACTTGCATAAAATGTAGTTTCCATTCATTCAAGAACATCTGAGTTGCCTTCTTTAAAACTGAACTAAATTCGTTTGACATCAGCCTTATGTAACCTATAGATAATGTGACACACTTGGACAACTGAAGTATTCTGTTTTCAACATCCTTGAACTCAGTTAAAATTAATAATACATTGGTAATGCGCCCTGTTAGACTGTGAGCATCTCCAGTGAACATGAGACACTATAAATATATTCAGCCTGTTTCTCACTCTTTGTTAGGAGAGGAATGAACAGAAATACGTTATTCATGCTTTGAAAGATGAGCACTTGTTTTCAGTATCACTAGGTAACTCCACTGGTCCTAAATGTCTCTGCATTGACACCAATGACAGGCTGACCCACAACCCAGATTAAATGTTAACTTATAGCAAAAAGTGAAGCAATGAAAGCTCTCACAAATGTTACTGCTAAAGAATGAAAAGATATCAACTACAATATATATATTTATAATTGCATGACAATGAACTCCATTATCTAATATTGTTACTACCAATCTCAGGAAGCAAAATCAAAAACAATTTTAAAATGTTTTTCAAATAAACAAAAAAGCATTGACTATTAATTCCAATGTTTCCGAATTTACTGCTATATTAAAATCAGCCATGTGTTCCAGTTTATTTTATTTTTTTTTTTTGGTACTGGGAATCGAACTCATGAACTCAGGCTTACCAGGCAAGCGCTTACGCTGCTGAGCTATATATCCCCGGCCCCCAGAGTTTATTATTATAATATAAAGTAAATGCAAAAACAGAAAAGACACTCACTGTGTTCACTTGCTAGTACAAAAGATTCAGGAGTTCTTTCAGGTAGGGGAGGAGGTGAATCTTCACTAACATCAGTATCTGAATTAAATACAGAAAATTCAAACACGTTAGTAAAAATTAACATATGCCATCTAAGCAAAACCAGAAAGCTTTCTAAATATTGTGGAAGTCCCCATCCCAATATCTAAGACTTCACTGAGAGGATCTCGCAAGTCCCTGCACTGCCAGACGGGCCAGGCTTCCCAGGCAGAGAGGAGCACTACCCAGCTTGCCGCTGGCTGCTTAATCCTTGGCGCTTTCTGCCATACAAGGTGCCCCTGCCTGTTTGCTAAAGAACTCCAAACGTTTCAGACAGCTATGTGTTTCGGTCATGTTTTAGACATCAACAACTGCGGTGATGTGAGGTACTGGCTGTTGTTCTAACGTCCATAAAAGTGTAGCTACCAAGCTCTTCAATGCCTGTGAACGGGGCAGATGACTGGGTTCTCAGAATACTGATTAAAGTCGTATAAAGGTTTTCACCAGTAGAAGCAAAGCTAGCTAGCTCTTGAGAAATACAATCCATCAAGTAAACCGCACTGGTTGGCCTAATATACAACAGGGCAGACGACAGTCTTTGATCTTTGAGTTTTCACCACAGATAAAGAAAGCCACCACGGCCACCTGATCCTCTGCACAGACTCTCGGGCACGGAGGATGGGGCAAAGGGAAGGAGAGGTGAAGAGCCTGGATATTCTGTCTGGGCCTGCTCCACTGTTCCCTTATAATACAATGGGCAAGTTGGCGAGACCATGTCTCAGAAGCACAGGGCAAAGGCCCTAGGTTCAACCCCAGTACCACAGCTGAGCCTGGGGGCACACACCTGTGACCACTGCGCTGGAAGGCTGAGGCAGGAGGACTGTCAGTGTGAGGCCAGCCTGGACTATACAGCAAGTTCAAGGCTGGCCTGGACTATAAGGCGAGACGCTGTCTCAAACACAACACAACACACAACCTGACCTTCATACTCTGTTAATTCACCACATCTGATAAGCTACACAATAAAAATAAATAGGAAATCAAGTAAGTTTCCAACAAGCACAGGTGGGTCTGGTGCTCCTGTCCTTCCTACCCACGAAAACACAGACCAGCCCACAGTTCAATTCCGGATTCGAAAACGAAGGGTAACAAACTGTTCAGTGATGTAGTAATTTATAAAGTAAGCTACAGGAGAAATGATAAGCAGCAAATAAAAATGGGACTATCTGTTAGGTTGCAGCAATGATCATCACACAGGAAAATCTTCAGGTAGCACCAAAACAACAGCTAGTGGGACGCTGGAAGGAGAGCAAATGCACATTTACTGCTCTTGGCTTTGAGACACACACCTGCAAGAACGGAACCGTGCCGAGTGCTTCAGCCCTGTGTGTGTCTCAGCCTGCACTGTGAGCACCTCCGTCGTCACAGCACTGGTCGTATGGCAGTGACTCCCGGTGAACTTACTGTATCACTGTTAGGGTTTGTGTCTAGATTCCCCTCTAAGCCTCATGGAGTGAGGAGCAGGCTTCTACACTCTGTGACTGATTCATGGTCCACTGCTGGGATTATGGGTGTGAATGCGGCACCCAGCAGCCTGCATACAATATAAGGGAGGGAAAGAAGCTCTCTCTTTCCTCTCCATTTTGCTCTTGTTGCTTTTGCTGTCTTCTGCTGCCATGAACTGTTGCCCTCTGCCAAGCCACCCTGCCTTGGAGCCAGCTGTTTATAGACTGAAACCTCACAAACTGTGAGCTAAATAAACCTTTCCTTCCTTAATTCTGGGAGTTGGGTATTCCTCAGCAACAGGAGAAAAGTAACCAACACACATACACCTTCCTGTCCTAGGAAAAATGTTCCAAATTAAAATCTATCTACATATTTTTTTGTATAGTTCTAACTTGGTAGTGACAGCTCCCTCTCAAATTGAGGGAAGAGATTAAAAACAGGTATATATTTATTAAGAGAGCCATTATTTTCTACAGATCCTTCAAGTACATTAAGACATAAGACAACTGGGAGCAGTGGTGTACACTTATAATCCTAGTGCTCTGGGAGGCTGAAGCAGGAAGATCCCCAACTTGAGCCCAGCCTGGGCAATTTATTTACTTTTTTAAAAGCAGCAGCCACGTTTGAGAAAGTAAAGTGAAAGAGTATGAGAGATTCTGGCTCTGTGGAGCAAGCTTCGGAGAGTGAAAGGAGAAAAGCAATGAAGGACACCCTGGAGAAAGCAGAGCCCGCTACCGTGGCAAAAGCCATGGCAGCCAAGCCTGGGTGATTCAGCGAGACCCTGTCTCAAAATCAAAAACGGGCTGGGGATACAGCTCAGTGCAAAGGCCCAGGATTCAATCCTCAGTACCAGGATGGACAGACAGACAGGTAGAGAAATCTACTCTGTGAAATATATCCTCAAAACACACAAACACAGCATGCGTAGGCAATACACCATAGTACAGGAAGTAATATACAGTGGTACCCCGGTTCATGAATGCCTTTGTTTGTGAACAATCTGGTGCGCAAACAGAAGCATTCAGCAAAATTTTGTTTTTCTTTGAGAACCCTGCAAACACAACCCCGGCCGTTTTTCCTGCATAATCACGAACATGGCTATCTTTTCCAGAGTCATGGGATGAATTCACTGTTAAAGTGAGCAACCACCAGTAATCCATGCAGGAGCAGTCATGCTTCCATGCCTCCTCTCCACAGTCTGGCCCAAGAAGGCAGACACGAGCATTCATAGCATACTGAGAGGAACAAAGGACCAATAATGCCCCCTAGAAACTGAGTCCATGTATTACCTTGGAACGCCAAGACGTCTTAGAGAAGTGAATTAAAAGACAGCTTTGATAACAAAGTATGCATACACTCCACTTGCTACTGAATGAATTAAACTGCCCATATTCTGAGTACTTTCCAATATTGCTCTTGGGCTGAACTTTAGGTACAAAGCAACTCTATTTGCGAGCATTTTTGAAGAAGGTTCTTACAATAGGAATCTTTCAGTTAAGGAAACAGAAAAAAGGACAACTTGATGCTTTGTGAGAAATATAAGTGAAATTCAATGGTCAACCAAGCCATTCTACGTACAGTACTTGTGTCACTGTTACTTTAATTTTTTCATTTTTATTTTTTTTGGTGCTGGGAATCAAACTCAGGACCTGGCACTTGCCAGGCAGGCACTTGTGCCACTGAGCTATATCCCCAGGCCCCACTGTTATTTTAAGCAATTCTATTTTCCCTAAGTTATTTCTAAGCATTCAGTCAGATAAAGTTTTGACCAACACAAAACATATAGGGAAAAAGGCAAAGAAATTTTCTTGTCCCGGCACTCTGGGCGGGTGAGGCAGGAGGACTGCTAGTTCCGGAACAGTTTAGGCAACTCAGGGAAACTCTGTTTCAAAGAAAAAAATTTTTTAAATGGGGAGTAGGGATTGGCTTCAATCCCCAGGGAAAGAAGGGAGGTAGGAAAACAGGGAGGTAGGGAGCGAGGAAAGAAAAAAGGAAATTTGTTAGCTACAACCACTGAAGTGTTTTGGAAAAACAGAACCCCTAAAACAATGTGATCCAATTAAGGTAACAATAAGTAATATCTTATGTGAAACAATTAGTATCTTATTTTTGAAACTATGAAAAGAACCTTCTCCAGCATGGTGCGGCACGGCACGGCATGAGGCAGCGGCCATGGGCAGGACGCGCGGCCGCTGCTCACTCATTACCTCCGTCAGCACCGGGGCGCAGCGCTCCCCCGGCACCGTGCCTGGCGATGGACATGGGCAGCACCTTCCTGGTGGAAACGCTCTCAGTGCTGGTGGCAGCAGAGACTGTGGCACTTGCTGTTGAAATGCTAGTTTTAGTCTTGGTCCCAGCACCATCAGAGTTCCTGTCATCGGAGTCCGAGTCATCAGAATGAAGAGGGTTCATGAAACTCAAGGGTGCTCGGAAGTGAGGCGACCCGTTGGGCTGCTGCTTGGGATCCCGGGCTTCGCCCGGCGTGGCGGGGCTGGGGGTTGAGCTCACAGTTTTCAGGGCTGGACAGTGGCTAGCTGGGGAAGTGTCCTCAGAGGTGTTGGGGACAGGGGCGGCGTTCTCGGGGCCATGGAACGACCACGCCGCGTGTCCCTTCCTGTCCAGGGCCAGGTGGTCTGGCCTCGGGGGCGTGTGTGCGTGCGGCCGGGCCTCCTCTGGCAGAGGCGAGGGAGCATCACCCAGTGGCGGGGCGCCACAGTCCGCACAGGAATTCGGAGAGGACGCATCAGCCTTTGCATCCCCTGCACTTAGCTCCGGAGACTTAGAGCCTTTATCAGCTGTACAAGGCGGAGCAGATTTGATTTTAATTGCATGTCCCCTGTTCAAGAGTGTGTTCCCATCAAAACTTTTTGGTCCCTCTTGGAGAGGCACCTTCTTAATTTCAAAACTTAAATTTCGTTCCAATTTTTTATCTATCTGTTCAACAGGTGATTCAGTTTTCCCTGGCAGGTCTGCTGATTTATTGTAGTTCCTGTTGAGGTCTGCTGAATGCTGCTCTGATGACACCACGTGCAACACCGGCTTCGGGTGGTACCTGTCGTTGTCCTGCCACACGGTGGTGACGGTGGGGAAAGCTGACGGTGGAGAGGGCGTGAGGATGGGCGGCACAGGGTGGGGCTCTGGAGGCTGCAGTATTTCTTCCTTAGCATCTCCTTCCACAAGGCAACTGAAAAGTATCAGCAGAGAACACCTGAGAAAGCTGTCCTCCTCAGAACAAGCTGACAGATGACAATAACGTAACTATGGTATTTAAAGCCATTAAAGGGTATAATTTAAAAACAGAATTTGTCAGATGGAGAAAATTTAACATTTACTAAGGTAATGCACGTTGTTCGCTCACTACGCAAGACATCCAGTGAAAAATTCAGTGGGACTCTCCCCTATCCTCCTCCCCAGCTCCTGAGACTTGCCCCGCATTTGCAGTGGTGATGCTGGATGCTGCCTTCCCACTAGGCAGTATCCTCGCCCCCTTCCAACACTGTCCTACAGCAGGCTCTCACCACAGGCCCCACCGAGACCCCGGACGCAGTGGTCTCTTTCCCCCTGTGCAGTCAGATTCCCTCGGACAGCTTCACTCCCTGCGGATCATCAGTACCTCGCTCCTGCAGAGCTGCACAGCTCCCTCTAGCAAGACTGACCACCCACGGAGCTGTCACCAGCACAGAGCCCGAGGCCTCACTGCTCCCTGCTCCCCTGTGGTCGCCTGATGCACAGAGGTGCACCTCACACTCCTCTCAGGCCGGCCCAGCTGCTTGTGCTCCCACTCTCAACAACTCCACACAGAAGGCAAGCTTCTTGGGAAATGGTATTTCAAAGCTACTGACTCTCACTGAGCTGCCTAGACTGGCTTTGAGCTTGTGCTCCTCTGGCCTCAGCCCCCTAGTAGCAGGGATTAAAGACGCATGACACCATGCTGGGATTAAAGGTACTGATTTTTTTTTTTAAGCAAGTATAGAATTGAAAGTCAGAAATTACTGTCCTGTAAGATCTTAAAATTCTGGCTCTTACTCATCTATAAATCATAATTGTGGAACCCTCCAACTCTCCTGGAACTTTTGGGTTCTTTTTATTGTCAATGTTCTAATCTCTTTATCCTTTAAAAATATATTGTAGTACAATTTTTTTTCCTATCTATTATTTCGAGAACTTGGTGCATTGTTTCTAGTTGAAAATTCATGTTATTTCTAGAAATCTTTATTTGCTGATTTTTTCTCTAGTCCCGATCTACTGATTCTCTCATTTTTTTAACCTTTTCTCATCCAATTTTCTATCACCTTCTTTAGATATTTCCAATTTTGCTCAGTTTTTCAAATTTATGCTGGTATACTTTCAATGCTTGAGTTTCTTGTTTATTACCATCTGGATCTTATCTCATGGCCACGGTATTTCCTAATGACTGAGAAAACTAGACAGTTGTTTCCCTCCCGTCTTTTCCCTACACTCTACATTTCCTCCCATTTGTTCACGTTAGAGGCTTCTGTCAAAAGGATGGCTTGCTGTTTTAGGGGAGGATACTGACTAGACCCAGGGCGTCTGCACTGACCTGTACGCCCTGCCCTTTCAATTCTGAGACGGGTCTTGCGCAGTTTCTACATGGCCTAGCCTGAGCTAGGACCTGTGACCCTCCTCCCCCAGCCTTCCAGAGTGCTGGGATCCTAGGTGTGTGCCAGGTGCTCCTATTCACCTTGAAGAATGGATGTTTATGACCGGAAAGAGTGTAAGTCTTGAGGGGAGGGCGATGGGAGTGGCTGTCTCGCTATGTGGGGACTGAGTATGACTCGTGCAGTGGCACTGATGGGCCACAGCTACCGCATCTGCAGGCTTCTTCCTTTGGGCTGGTGAGCTGCTGAGAAGGACGAGGCAGCGGTATGACCTCTATGACAAGTGGTTACCAGGATCCTAAAAGCCAAGTCAGAGGTGGGATCAAGGCAGCGAGGGACCCCACCACTGCACGCACAGGTTCCTGCTTTCAGTCAGGCACCACCTGGAGCCAGGCCTACGGGCTCTGGGCTCTCTGGCTGCACAGCAAAGCCCCTCACAGTGCTGCCCACCCAGGTGTGTAAAGGCACCACCCGCCTACACAACCTGGGAGGAGGAATGCGGTGTCTAACCTGCCTCCTAAGAACCTCACACACTCCGTACTCTGAGTCCCATCCTAAACCCCAGCCTGCTGAGAGACCGCCAACTTCTGAGCCTTTCGGGGGTTCTTTGAAAAGAACGGTCTTGCTCCTCAGTGGCTTCCCTCACCTATAAGAAAGCAAGTCTGAGTTTTTCTAGTCTGTTACATCTGTTTGCATTAGCTAATAGGCCTTTTACTCTTCAAATGTGCTATTATTTCCCCAATTTTCCATGTTTGTCACATTTATATATTTTATTTCCTTTGCTATCATTTAGGGAGCTGAGGGAGAGACCACAGTTAAATGTGTTATTTAACCAATAGTATTAAGGCTCTAAGAAGCAGTTATCTGTGCATGATGTTGATAGGGACGTAGTAAATATGCTCTTGGCTATTCAAGTTTGGCTGAGTTACACTAATAGACCCCCCCCCAGACATGTATCTGTAAGGTTTGTTGAAATACAGTGTAAGATGCTTATACAGTATTTTACGTGCACAAAAATTACAAGCCCAGACACACACACAGAGTTGCAATGATTTTCCCGTGTAGTACCCCACATTCATTTTGAAACTAAATTTCCTGAAGCAAAAGATAGGCAAAAAAGCTGAGTGTGGTGGTACACATCTATGATCCCAGCCTCCGGAGCTGAAGCAGGAGGACTGCTAATGGAGGGTCTTAAAAAAAAAAATAAATAAAAATATCCCAAACCAAACAGTACTAAAACTGACAAGAAGATACTACAGTATGACTTGTGTAATTCTCATCCTAAATATTCTTCTCAATTTTATCTGTTCTGGCATTTTTCACTTCTCTCAAACAAAATATTTGGGTCTTATCACATACTGGGTATTCTTCTTAACATCCCAAGAAACAAAAAAACAATAAACACAACATTCAGGCCTCTAAGCAGTATAGAAAGACACTGAAAAACAAGGCGAGAAAGGCACGCCAAAGTCATACTGTGAAAGCCTAGATCTCATGCTACATGTCTGGACTTGACAATAGATCTTCACATACCTTTTTCTACCTGCAGAGGATCTTTGGTAAGCCTATTACTGGTTTACTCATTATAAGAAAATAGAAATTATTTAGAGTAGCTAAAATTTTAACATGTACAAAACTTAGTCAAATGAAGGGTGTGTCATGGGGCCCTGGTACATACAGTACACCTGACATTCTACCCAAACAAAACACCAATGTTACTTTGTATTTCAGTAACTCATCAATTGCCATACATATGCTACATCCTAAGCAAAAGAACAATGGCTATGAAAGTAATTTTGGAATATGCGACTTTATTATTACAATTAATAGTAAAAATACAAGCACTCTCTCAAAGAAAATGTTTGAAGACATACCTGCGGGTCCGCGGGGGTTTTGGAGGAGGAGAATCTTGCTTTTCAGCATCTGCCAAGCTGACCATATTTTCAGTGGTAATTTCATTCTGCCAAGGGGGAAAAATGCTTCACTAAAAGGAGAAAAATAACTCTCTGTCCTCATGTTTCAACTAAATTATTTCTGGCTTTTAAAATTTTAAAACAATGCCAATTTTGTCAAATAACAAAACTTGTCCTATATTCTGGCTCTGGATTTTAGCATGAAGGACCAAACTTCCAACAACAGAAATCTGTATCCAAACACAGCCCATTACCAATTACTGATATCAACTGTGTACCTCAGCCCATTTCAAATGCTACTCAAAAAATACAGACTGCCAAAGGAAACACATATCAAAGACAGCTTATTTTCGGGAATCACTATTACCAGGGGGGTGGTGGTTACACTACTGTGACTCCCCACTGCTACCTGTACTTTAATGTTTACTTTTTAACTTGGTACTTGTAAAACAGGTCCTAGTATCGTTGTAAACATCCCTCGCGCTCCCTATGTCATCATGGGGAATGCTGCACCCTATAGGGAACAGTTCTTATATTGCTAATTACAGAGACCCCCAAAAGCAGCCCATCCTGGGACAGCCACGGTTCTTGTGGGTCCCAGGACCAAGGACATCCTTACCACTGATGACCCAACTATAAGAATCTTGAAGAATTAAGAGTTCTGATGAGAGGAGCTCCGAAATGCTTATAAAAGGCTTCCTTAAGTTACTTCGTTCTTAGGAAGTCCTTCAGTTGCCTACCTAGGCTACTTTATTTCAGGATCAGGAGACAGCGAGGTTTTCACCCTTACTTACATCCTAGCTAATTTTTAAAAGCTGTGTGCATATACTATCAATAAGGAACTTTGAAGTTGTTTTGTTTGTATCACAAGGCATTTCTTACTAGTCACAAAATACTTAAGATACCAACTACTTGGGAGGCTGAAGCAGGAGGACTGAAGTCCAGTAGTCTGTGAGGCCAGTCTAGGCAGTATGGCAAGACCTTGTCTCAAAATAAAACAAAGAACAACCATTTCTACTATGCCTGTCATGGCAGCTTCTTTATCTTTAGATTACTTCAAGTATTTCCCACTAAAAAAAAGGATCACAACTTCCCAGAAACGTTCAGAGTACCCTGCCACTGATGGAAGAAGACTGATACCACTACCCGACCAGAATAGTGTGTCCTTTTGTACTGGGGAGGCAGAAAGGCATCAGGGATTGAATCTTGGGCCTTTGCACCAAGCTACATTTAAGTTGCTTTTTAAACTTTTGAGACAGGGTCTCACTAAGTTGCTAAATTGCTTGGGCTGGGATTGAACTTGTGACGTTCCTGCCACAGCCTTCTCTAGTTCTGGGACCATATGCTTGCAGAGACTGGCAAAATTGGACTTCTTAAAAGCCCTGTTAGATGGGGCGTAGTAGCACATGCCTGTTATCTCAACTACTGAGGATGCCAAGGCAGGTGGGTCCCAAGTCCAGGTCACTGTTATGGCTGATTGACTGCGTCAACTTGTGAAGTTAAGAGAAGCTTAACTAAGTCAGCTTAGCCACTCTAGGTCTCCTGGAGCGTGTAAGGGGAAAATGAGGAAGGATGGATCACTTCTGTTCTTCAGAGGCGCTCCAGTCTATGCCCTCAGCTTGGACGTGGTCTCCTGGCTTCTAGTGCAGACGCCTTCGGCTTCCGGCGTACACTACTCAGCCTTCCATTGCAGACCCCTCAGCCTCTAGATACGGACTTGCACAGACGCTGCAGTGAGCTGCAGATCTTGGGGCACCTTTGGTCTCCAGTGGGCAGATACCCTCGGCATGCTTCCTCATCCAACTCTGTGGCTGACCATCATAAGTGGGTCTTGTAATTTCTTCTACATTTGTCTATCTTGTGTTGTATCTGTTTCTCTAGTAAAACCCTGACTGATGCAGCCACCCTGGGTAACTGAGTTAGAACCTATCTCAAAATAAAAACAAGCTAGGAATGTAGCTCAGTGCTCACTGCATCCAAAACAACGCAGTAACATTAAAATATGGTACCATTTTAGTACCATTAAAAAAAAAAAAAACAAAAAAAACCCTGCCAAGTTACCCAAGCTGGGCTCAAACTTGCAGTCATCCTGCCTCAGCCTCATAGACTCCTGGGATTCCAAGTGTGGGCCACCATGCCTGGTGAAACTTTCATCCTTAAAGCCACCTACTGTAATACTGCAGGGGTAGATGCTACTGGGAGGTGATCATACTGGCATCATAAATGTCTGACATGTTACTGATTCAATTATTTCCGTTCAACAGAAAATAATAGTCCCATAACACTAATATTTACACCAAAGTCTATAAAAACTCACACCAAGTAGGTTAAATAAAAATTCAAAGTAACCTACATAAAACTGCTTTTCCTGCACTGTTCCTAAGCAACACAACAAGGCAATTTTAGTACAACTTAAATAGCCTCATGCCACGTCGTTAGCTGCTGCCAAATGAATCCAACAAAGTTTTCAGAACATGCTGGACTCCAGCTGTGAGGCGCACTGAACAGAGTCCGTGGTGGACAGCTCAGGGACATGGTGTCCAACCTTAGGAAGCATCCTGTGAGCCAGCCTCACTCCCCAGGACGTGAAAAGGTACAATCAGAGACCCCCATCGGAAGAGGGACGCTACTATCAACCGAGAGTATCAATGCGGGGTGTGGATTAGCACTGAGGGATGTGTAATGTGACAGAAACAGACAGAGAAGGGCTGGAAGAACAGGTAGGAGGAGGGTGTGGACAAAGGAGGACACCTGCAGGCAGAGGATTCCTGCGACGGTGGGAAGGCGTCATGGAGAACTCCTTCTGGGTGAGGTGGCGGGGGACAGACGGAAGGAACTTCCAGGGAGATGAGCCTGTGGAGCTTACAGAAGCATCCGATGCAGGAGTGAGTGTGGCTGAAAGCCAGGCAGCAGGACAGGACAAACTTCCCGTATTCACCCGGTTCTTGCCTGCATGTGTACCAACCACTTGGACTGCTTTTCTTACCAGCTGAAGGACTCACTAACTTTCAAACTAGAAAGGACTTTTATAAATGAAATAATCCCTTGGAGACGAGGTTTTTGTGTATTCTCATTTCGAGCAGAACTTCCCCAAGTTATTTTGTATACCAGTATTTTCTACATAAGACAGCTACATAGAAGGCCACAAAAGAAAAAAGGGCCAGAATCTAATTGTCAAGTATTTAAGGACATCTTATCAGCTGCAGAGCAAAAATAAGAAACCTTACATTTGAGAGAAAAATATTCAGAATCCAATACATCTAAAAAGGAAAACAACCACAACAGAAATAAAGACTATTATAATGCCAACGGCACTGCCCTGACCCCTTTAGAACTGAGAACCCTGGGGTCGACAGCACTAACACTGGCATACTTTATGTAGAGGATAAAAGGCATCTGCGCATACCATACACGTTTGCTTACTGAATGCTTCTAAATCCAAATCAGTGTGACACAGGACCTAGACCTCCTACTCTGAAAGTCATTGCTAGGGTAACTACCTCTAATGAACACTGCTAGTCTTAAGAGTCTTGTATTACCAAGTAACACTTCAAATAATTCCTACAAAAACAATTCTAGAACAAAGTACACTTGAATTTTTGCCCAGTGAATTAAGTTGTGAGGCAAATAACAAGCAGCGGTTTATTACCGTTTCTCACAGCAGACGCTCAGAACAGTGATACATGTTCTCAAATGCTTCTGTTCAATCACACGCTGCCAAGATGACTCTCCCCAACTGGTTGGATTCTACACTAACTGGGATTTACGATATTCAACCACATATACCATTTAGAAAACAAGAATCTTAAGAGTAAAATGTTATCAAGAATAATCTTTTTTCCTTTTATCCATTTACCCGTCCACTTTTACATGAATTTGTGATTTTGATCTGAATTGTCCCTCAAAGGCTCAGTGGTGAAAGCTTGCCCACCCCCAAAATATTCAGAGGCAGAGCTCTTGAGCAACAGTTGGCTCATGACAATCCTGATGGCACCAAGGCACTGATCAACACACCTATGGACTCATAACTGAATGCAGGGAGGGGAAAATACGGGGGTGGGGGGATGACACCTTGCTGGACGAAGTGGATCTGGCCCAGACCTTCCTATCCTGTCCCCTCTGCCCCTCCGGAGCAGCTCCACTCTGCCACTCTCTTCAACAGGGATGCTGCCTCACAAGCAGGCCTACAAACCACTGAGCCAGCAAGGGACAAAAAAGAAAAAAAAAAGATGAACCAAAATGAATCTTCCCTCCTTTTAAGTTATTCATGTATTCTGTCACAGCAACAGAGAGCTAACACAGAATCCACCCATGGATACTCTCTCTGTCTCTCTCTCTCTCTCTCTCTCTCTCTCTCTCTCTCTCTCACACACACACACACACACACACACACACACACACACACACACACACACACACACACGATCATGGTCCTACTGAGTTATACCGCTGAGAGATACACAGGCACCTAGACTATGAAAAGCCCTGTATGAGGTTCTAATCCTGCTTTTAACAGAATGTATCTGCATTATTAGGTGACGCATGATCTGTGTGGGTATCAAGGAGTGTGTGTTTACTGCCAGGTAAAAATAAAGCAAGTTTGAAGAAACCACTCATTTGCTAGCGGGTATGGTATAACATTTTTCTCATGTTCCTTAGTTATCTGTGAATCTCTGATCCATTTGACAGAAACACTCTACTGCCAAAATTATAATCCTAGTATAGGGCTTGTAATTTAATTAAAAAGAATCAATGTATTGAAACCTAATAAAGATCAAGTAAAAGGAAAATGGAGACGAGAGAGCAATGCAGTATTTATCATACATTTCCTAGAAGTTGTTCAAATAGAGTGAAAGCTTTAAGTAAAACTGCACATTACAAGAGAAGAATGTTTTATATTTTAAAAAAATTAGTAGTGATTGTATATAGGTATATAGAGAAATATGTAAGGATAATATAGAGAATTATTTTTCACTTCCATTTTTTTAAGAAAATGACTGTTTAAAACAGCTATATTTCTAGCCAGGCACAGTAGCACAGCTATAATCCCAGCACACTAGCAGGTAGGTAGAAGGATTCCAAGTTAGAGCCCAGCATGGGCAACTTAGTGAGACACTGCCTCAAAATTTTAAAAAAGGGCCAGAGATGTAGCTCAGTGTGAAAGCCCTACATTCAATCCCTAGTACTACAAAAATAATGAACAAATAAAAAATAAATGAGCTATATTCTAAAATTTAAGAACCTTAATTTGAAATTAATCTTACATTTATGAAATATTTTTTAAAGTTTAAAGAAAAGAATATCAGTTACTCAGTATTTTGAAATAATGAACACCTCCTTTTATATAAAATGATAAAAAGAATGAACATTGTATTCTATATTACAAAATATTTGCCCATAATGAGAATGGGTTGTGTAACAAGCTTTAACTGAACAGCAACCTGTATGCTAATGAAGGAAAAAAAGGTCACATATGCAAACTTTCAAAACCTACAGCTGTTATCTGGCTAAGAAAGTAAACACAGATTCCTGCGTATCATGGCTCAGTAGTGGATTACCTTAATGCACTCAGACCACAGTTTGGTAACAAATCTGTCACTTGGCAAGTGAACATATTTTAAACAAATATTCTGGGATATGGACAAAATCATTTCATAGGGGAAAAGGAAATCAAAGGTTATAAAATTTTGCAACTCAATAGGTTCAATGATAAAGATTTAAGAAAACTGTACCAAAAATATAGCTCATCACCTTTAAGAACAAGGTGATTATATATAAAACAAAGTAAGAATCTATAAGAAAAGAGAAAGAAATGAAAAACAGTATTTGTTATCAGGTCACAATTTTGAATATCCAATAAGATTTCTTAAGACTAAAATGATACTAGATGATAACATACCAAAAAAAGAGACTTAATGGTAGCCTCACACTTCTGCTTAGTTAAAAAGTACAGCATATATATACACAAATGGTTATAAAACTTCATGCCAAGAACAAAATAAAATTCACATAGAATCAACTTACAATTAGTTAGGAAGGGGTAGAAGAGACTACAGTAAAATGTTTAAGAAGTGATTTATATTTAAAACAATAATCAATTATGACTTTTCACCTAAGATCTCCCCCCCCCCCCCGCTGCCCCGTACCGGGAATCGAATTCAAAACCTTGCGTGTGCCAGGCAAGCACTGCATCGCTGAGCTAAATCCCCAGCCCCAAGATCTTTTCTTTTTTTTTTTTGCTTTTTTTTTCCGGTACCAGGAATCAAACTCATGACCTTGCGCTTGCCAGGCAGGCGCTGTGCCACTGAGCTAAATCCCCAGCACCCCCAAGATCTTTTCTTAATGAGACACCTATTTATCTTACACTTTTCCTCCTGCCTCATTTACGTCATTTAATTTGTATTGGAATCATTAAAAATCCATCACACTAGAGACAAAAACTGGAAGCAGTGAGTTAATATAGGTTAGATAAAAATAGTAGTTGATATGGATAATCTCCTGTTAAAACCAATTTAACAGTTAAACTGAATACCACATCTTTTTCAAAAGTAAAATGATTCACAGGTCTAGAAAACCTACCCCTTCACCAGTAATCTTCTGGGTTCCATGAATTTCATACAATTGTAGTTGTTTTTCAAACAGTTGTGCAATAGCTCTATGAACAAGTTCATATTGCTCCTATTAGGAAGATAAATGACAAATGGTAAAGATTTAAATAAAACAAGGAAGCATTTAATATAGAAACATCACTCAGAAAGTGAAATAAACAACTATACCTTTGTTTGAACTGCAGAATGCCTTTGTGTTCTCATTTCTTGTATTAAATTAAATACATTAAATTCCTCTGGTATTTTCTAAAACAAAGAATTTAGTATAGACACATCAATTTTGGACAACATCAAGAAAACAGCAAAATACTCATCAACTTTTCAGGCTAGACACCTGCAAACATCTCCTGCACCACCTGCCATGTATCAGACACTGTGCGGCACTGTGGACACAAAGCCAGCTTGACCCTCAGCTGGAAAGCTGGGGAGCCGGATGTGTGACAAACAGAAAGTGAAAGAAATACACACATGCATGGCAGACTCAACGTACAACTTATCTAGGGAGTTGAGAATTTCTTGTGGATAAAAACTTGATGGGAAGGGGAAGGGCAGAAGAAAAAAGGTATCTGGGATCACACTGGAAATGTAAGAAAGGTTTGACTTCCTCCCCAGGCCAGCGTCTCCTGGCCTGGCTCTGTCATGAACCATTATAGGAGCTAGGTAAGAATACAGACACCACAGGCTTCATCTTCAGGGAACGAACGGGTGTGAAACAACTTAGACAATTCCTGTCCATTTGGAACTGTGACTATCAACAGGCAATCTTGCCGTGAGTATATCCTGATATTCTGCTAATTTTTCCATCAAAAAGATGCAAATAAACAGAGGAGAAGCTGGTTGAGGTTTACTGAAGGAGAACTACTAGAACTTGGTGAAGAGTATTTTGGAATGATAAGAAGAATTGAAAATGATTTGCAAGTTTACTGCTTTGAAGTCTTTATAGACAACAAGAGAGTTTCCCATCAGCTCACACCTAAGACGTAAGGTTATATTAATGTTAAAGACAAATTCAATCAAATGGAGACTATGATCAAAATACACAACTTTTGGAATGTTCTGAACATTTCAAAATTCTGAAGAAACTTTCAAAATTTTGTTGGGTTGCATTCATTTAAATGCCTCTTCCCATACCAGTTTTAGTCTTTGACTTTTATGGTCAATGACAAAATTTTTTTTAAATCAACGGCAAAATCTTAATTAAAATTTTCACTGAAAAATGTTCATGGAATTGTAGATTTTGAATGATACAACAGTAAAATTTAAGCTCAGGGGACTTCTTAAGGCACTATTTAAAAAAAATATTACCGGGGGGTGGGGAGGGTGTGGAATACATGGCAGGCAAATAGGGAAAGATGGGGGAAGAAACAAAAAGGATGAGATAAACTAAACACAGCACTGACTTTATTCTTGCAAAACACAGACTGAGAAACTGTTAATCTATAAAGGATTAAAAGCATGTCCATAATGCACAGAAAATTAATGCATTATAGAATTAACAAAAGAACCAAATACACATACAATGAAGAAACCTGTGTTTCTCAAATCTGTAGCAGGATGGAGTGCTGTGCCTACTTATCTTTGTATCTTCCACTGAATCAAGTACAATTTACTAGAAACACTTGTGGTAGAAACAACAACCCTAACACTAACAGTAATGCAAAGTAATAACAAACTAAAGTCCTACAGGTGCTAAATGATAGAGGCAGAACTTTAATATGCACAGTTTGGCTCCAGTTGGTATTTGTAACCCCTGCACTATAGCATCTCCAGTAGGGAGTAAATATTTATTGAACATGGTACACTTAAACCAAGGGTAAATATGAAAGGTCTAAGTTCACATCCCTAAGGCAGGCACTCATTCCCCCAGAACAGAACCTGTCCAATACATCAACTCAAGGAAATGTGCTGCATTTATACGTATATTGGAGACAGGGTCTTCCTACGTAGTTCAGGCTGGTCTTGAACTCTAGATAGCCCAGGCTGGCCTTGAACTGGAAACAATCCTCCTGCCTCAGCCTCCTGAGTGTTGGGATTACAGGCATGCGCCACCACACCCAGCTACCTTTTCAAATCTTCTTACATGGAAAAACTAATTCTGAAAAAGTAACATGTAATGCAAAAGGCATGCTATCATTCTGTGCAATTAAGCTTGAAATTCCAACAGATCAGCTGGACATAATTCTACATAAAAATTATTCTTACCCCAGCTTTTAGTAAATTCCAGGTATAATCGATCGCACAAATGGCACCTGTTCTTCCACAGCCTGCACTAAGGGTATAAAGTTTGAAAGAACAATTTGATATTTATGACAAAAAAATAAACATGAACGGACATGTTAACATTCAGTAACGAAAATAAATTTATTTATTTATGTATGTATGTATGTATTTAGGAGACAGGGTCTGCCTATGTAGTTCAGGCTGGCCTCGAACTCACTATGTAGCCCAGGCTGGCCTTGAACTCACTGATCCTCCTGCCTCAGCTTTGTGAGTGCTGGTACTACAGGATGTGCGCCACCACACCTGGCTTGAAAGATTATTTAAGAAACAAAATATTCTACTCATTTAGTAAACAAATTATAAAATACACACATGACATCATCGTTAACAGTGTTTATATCTTTTTAAAATCTAATTCAAGAAACGTCTACAGGTGACTCAATTATTTTGAGGGTTTACTTTGGAAGCCTAATTCTACCTCGGGAAACTGTGGAGCTTACGAGACGCTCCAGAGACACACACATTCTCTGTTTAGGGTGACTTGTGTTCTGGAGCGGGCCGGGAGACAGCCAGCACTTCCCTCCGCAACACGGGAGGCGGAGGTGGAGACAGCCACCGCCAGGTGCTGTGCGGCAGCACCAGTGCTGCGCCGAGAGCAGAGATGCTGATGTGGCTTTGGTGAGCAATGAAAACATGCTCCAGGCATCACAGGAGTCATTTTTAGGCAGAAGAAGTTGTATTTTAGGGCGTATTTTGAAATTTTTCTTACTATCAGTAGTTTCTTAAACATGTAACCTAGTAATTCTGACAAGCAGTACTTATAAGCAACCTAATTATTAGTACGACTTTTAAAAGCTCTTAATAGTAAACATTACATTAGTCATATAAGAGGTTAGATAGTGAGCATATGAACTGCTGTTTAAAACAGCCAAAATCAGAAGTAAATACATGTTAAATATAAAGTAGTACAGTCATAGTATAGAAAATGCAGAAATATTCTTTTAAAAATATGGTATACACTATCTGTACAATGAAAGGGTACAACCTAAAGCTTTAACAATGGTCATTACTAGTGGAAAAATAATTTCCTTTCTCTTTTTTGTCGATGTGCTTTCTAAGTCATTGTAGTTGACAAACTATTAAAAATATTCAATGATGCATTTTTAAAAATCCAAAATGTTCCTACTGAAACAGACTTATGAACTATACTCACTGACTAAATACCAATGATGGAAAGTAGTACCAGCAAATAACACTGACTGACTTGCAAAGAAGTCAAAACAAAGCAATTTATTTTCTACAGTGACATACTTTTCCTCCCGAACAAGCTAACTATTTAATTCACTGGTCAACTAATCACCGGATTAATTATGGAAAAATTTATTTTAATTGACCAGGTTGTTGGCTGATTTCCAAATCTCTACTAGCAAGTCAATTTCCTAGGCCACAAATAAAAAGCAGCCCTGTTAGCCAGGCATGGTGCACAAGTCTGATATACCAGCACTTTGAGGGGCTGATGCAGGAGGATTGCAAGTTAGAGCTACCTCTCTATTTAAAGAAAAGTAAGAAAAATTGCAGGGGCCGGGGAGCTCAGTGGTACAGCACCTGCCTGGCAAGTGCTATGTCCTGAGTCTGATTCCCCACACCAAAAAAATAAAAAAATAAAAAAATAAAAATTTGTGACTGTTTAAATAATCAGTAAATTTCTCTGTCTAAACATTTTTATTTAGTTTGTGTAACAAACTGGTAGTAGGTACAAGTACCTTGAAAGATAAACTCATGAAAGTTTTATGGACTAACTACAATGATTATAAAGTCTTTACAAGAAACTAATATAAATTAAAAATTTAAGACCATAAAAATTGCCTCAGCATTCAGGTAGCTCTATACTATTTAGCAACCCATACACTAAGACATCTAATAAAATTCCAAAAATTAGGTTTTAAAACATCCTACATTATACATCCCAAAGCTACTGCAAACATTTAATATTTTCATGACTAGTTCAATTTTTTACATTTCCTTACATTCCTGAAGCCACAATAAATTTAGCTTTTAAAAAAGTGAAGTCAAATTGGCTCCTGTATTTTTGTTTAGTATAGTTTTGTGTCTCATTCCTTACTAAATTCCTTGAGGAAAAAGAGCCATCCAAATGAGGCTGTCCACTTTCTTAAGCTTGTTAAAGATGGCAACAATGAGTTCCCCCTTTGAACAGTTACAGGCCACAATCTGGAAGCCCATTGGAGTAGAGAAGCTGTCAGGTAAGACAGGGAATAAAAGAGTGGCAATATCTAAAGAGCCAAGATCATACAGGAATTATGACTGATCAGCCAGAATGCTCATCCTCAATTTCCCTGACCTTAAAAAAAGGAAAGGGACTGGAATGCTTGCTTGCTTTTCATTATAAGCAGGATCAAGTGGCTTATGTGTTAGAAAAATAACCAGAGAGCAGAAGTAACCCAAAATACTCAATTAAGAACAGTTGGCTACCTTAATGCTGTTTTATTTTAGATAAAATATGTAACAGAATTAACCTCTACTCTGCTCCATGCATGTAAAATTAGCTATAGCAGCCCCCTCAAATGAAGTCTCAGATTCATATTCCCAAAAGCCAAAGGCAGAGGTTTACATAATTGCTTACATGCAACTAATCTGCAAAGAACAGCTGAATTTCAAACATTAACTCAATCAATGAAACAATTTCTACATATTATATATAAATACTTTAAACAAGGAAGCCAGTAATCATCCAGCCTCAGGTAATCCCTAAAATAATCTTGCTATAAAGCATAATTTAATAATGATATCTTAGTAAATGTGTATCAATAGTTTATATTACCTTGCTGTAAGAATGATAGCTTCCTGCTCTATCTACATTTCAGTAGCCATAAAATACAATTTCATGATATGACAGGCAATGCTGCAAACGTGGAACCTGATGTTTTCAGGAATGGAAACAGCATTTGAGTTCTTCATCAATTCTAAAACGCACTTTTTAATTTACATGGCAACAGCTCTGAAATTAGTACATCTCATGTCAAAGACTTGTCAAACAATCTCTTCCCCTTGAAAATGGCAATAACTTCTCATTTTAATGTACATAAAGTAACAGTGTGTCTTAAAGCCAGGGGTGTCTTAGATCAATATATACATACATATCTAAATGTATTAAAAAAATCTGACACCAATGATATAATGCCAGTATCACAAAAAATTGCCTCACCATTTTATCTGAGAAACTGAGTTGAAAAATTATTAATTTCATTTTATTCTTAATGCAAGCTTTAATCTCCTTAGGAAAAAACAGTAATGTCTGATTCATAAGACCTCCACCCACATAAAAATGTTTGTAAGTCTTTGTTTTTGCTTGTGATTAATACCGAGAATACTACTAAACTGACGCTGAATGGCAGAGCGAAGAACGAGGCTAAACTGGTACAGCAGAGTACAGCTACAGCTCCCTACCGCGAGAGGAGCCTTTTGAAATAAATGCTGTTGTAATGGTAAATTTACACAGTCTATCAATCAGATTAGATGACATCAATTTAAGGCTGTAGTTTTAAATATACTATAATAAGGCTAGGAGCAGTTTAGGATAAATATGAAAGATCTAAGTTCACATCATATTGACTCAGAAATAAAAACTTACTGAATTTACATCATACTTTAAGTACTGTATCCATACACGTGGAAAACTCTTTCGTACCTGCAGTGAATACAAATTGGCACGTCTTCGTGCTCTTGGTACTTCCTCATTAAGCTTATCATATCCAGGATGGAGTCAAATGATGAAGGGACATCATGGTCAGGCCAGTTCACATAATGAAACTGATACAGCCTACGAGATTCCTTCATAAAAAGTAGAAAATCAGTATCCATGAAAGTACCATTTATAATTTTTTTTTTTTGAGGCAGGGTCTCGATACGCGGTTCAGGCGGGCCTTTCTGCCTCAGCCTCCTCAGTGCTGGGATTTCAGGCAGGAGTCACCATGCCTGGCTACATTTGTAAATTTAAAAACTACATTTCATTCAGTTGTCATTTACAAGATATTTGTGAGGTGTTCAACATTATCTTAAAAGGAAAAACGCAAATAAATGACAGCTTGTATTTTTTAATTGCTTATCACACATGCTAATTACTGATGTCAATGGCTCCACATGTGACAGTTTATTTTACTCTCCCTGAGGAAGGTAGTATTGATAAGGAAACTGAGACAGAAAGATTAAATAATCTGCATAAACTGCCAGAGGAGATGACAAATGTGGGATCCAACTCAGGTGGCCCTACCTCTTGAATATTCCTGTTACCATAACACTATGTACGCTAATTCATCCACACTATTACATAGACCAAGAAAATATTAAACTAAAAAAGAACCCAGAAACCAATGTATCCAACCTCAACCCATTTGTCTTATTAATTAATATAGATCAGTTCTCAAACTATGGTCTGTGTAGGTCCTTGTGACTTCTCAATACTTAGGGGTGAAAGTGGGGAAATGTGAATTTTAAACTATTTTTGGAATACCACCAAGGTGCTATTTACCTTTTCCTTTAACAGGCTAGTAGAAGACATGCTGGTATATTCCTGTCTTTAAAGCTTTTCTCAATTTTAATTTCAATTGCAGTCAATCTTAAAAGATATAACCCACATAAATAAAAGCTCTCTGAGAGCACCAGTAATCTTTAAGAGTGTAAAGAAGTCACAAAATGATGTCAGAAAATGTTCTGAGAACTGTTATTCTAGGAGTTAGTAGAAACAACAGGGCTTAGAATCTGGGCCAAACTATACAAGCCATTTCCTGAGTCCTGCAGGTGACCACTTCACGTCTCAAAGCCTCTGCACACCCTGCTATGGGATGCAGGGGAGCGGCTGTCCTACTGCTGATTTTCCCGACGGACCACAGTTCAGTAAGGTACTCAGAGATGGAAAAAAGCAACCGAAGTACACTAACTCACTCAGCTGAAAGGACATGTTAAAGCTGCAGGTTGGAAGTACTGGAACTATCCACTAATGAACAGGAAGGAACAAGGTCTTTTAAGGCATTATTTCAGGATGCTACTTATAATGACCCAAAAGTTAAGATACTAAAAACAAAGATGAGACAGCTGGGAGGCATTTTTCCAACGACCAATAGACTTTTCCTCCATTCTATCCTACAGAAATTATCATTTTTTAGTAACTCTGAAATGCTGAAGTCAACAGCCTCAAGAAAAATAATACATATCTGAATGAAGATTTGGCTTGGAAGGTGACCTGTTTCATCCTAAAATATTATAAACTAGTAAAGGTGAGTAACAATTATGTAAATAATACTAAAATCTGCTTGCTGCAACAGAGGAAAACAATTTGTAGCAAGAAAGCATAATTATACCAAGTATAACAAATGTAACTCAGGGAAAGCTTCTTTAAATAAATTACGATTTATTATTGTGCAACTGGATAAGCATAAGGCTCATACACTAAATAAAACACTATCCTCTGAATTTCTTCATTATTTTATCTAACTAAAACCATTCACAAATTTCCTTAACTATAGAAGAAAGAATACTCTTTGTATATCTTCTCTTCGAAAACTATTCTTAGAGAGTGTCTAATAGAAAGTACTTACATTTTGAAATTCAAGTAACAGTGTCCTAATGAAGTAATCTGGTCTTGCCTGCTCATCTTCCTAAAGACAAGAAATGTTGTAAGTGAAAACATTAAAACAAAAAACATACATATATCAAAACAAAATACTTGAAGTCCATAATATAACATTAAACTTTAAAATCCCTTCTTTATAAGCGGGTATACAGTTCAAGGGTTGAGTGCTTGCCTCAGTGGTAGAGGGCCTCAGTTCAATCACCAGCACAACAAGGAGGCTGGTAGAGACACCTGGGAATGAGGCTCACTGTAAGGTCACCAAAAAAACCTATCCCCCAACTTAACCCTCCACATGTCAAAATGAGCACATTCTAACCAGAGCCCCTGAGTATTTACTGCATATTAAATCCAAAGAGTTCAAGTTGATTTTAGTTTCAACAATAAAAAAATCACATTGCATTTATAAAGTAGACAGCCTAATGCAGCTTGAATTCTTTTCGATATCAACACAGGAAGCACTAACTTTAGGTATGTATACACATCAGAGGAATTCAGAAGCTTTGAAATAAAAATATGAAAATTATAAATGAGATCTGGAATCCACTGATGACAAGTAGAATAACAAAAAATATATTCTGTTTTATAGAAGAGAAAGACAAGGCTGAGAATTTAGCTCAGTGGCACAGCGCCTGCCTGGCAAGCACAAGGTGGTGAGTTTGATTCCCGGTACCGAGAAAAAAAAAAAAAAGAAGAGAAAGACAAAGGCAATTCTGGGACAGAAAATTCAACAGTTAACTTTGTGCATCAGGTTGGTCAGGCTATAGAGAGCCTGGGGAGTGTGTTATTCTGTGTACTTCTATGAGGGAGTTTTTTAGGTGACTTGGACATGTAGACTCATGGCTTTGAATAGAGTAGAGTATTCTTCACAATGACGGGTCCCGTCCAATCACCTGCAGGTCTGAGTAAACCGAAGGCCCAGCCTCCCACAGCAAGAGCGATTACCCAGGCCCTTTGTCCATCCATAGCATCAGCCCTTCCCAGTTCTGCACCTGCTGCTGCGGAGGGAGCATTAGCTCTCTGGGCCTGCCGGCTTCCAGCCTTGGACTGCACCGGCAGCATCGCCCTCATCCCCCACCCAGCAGGATCTGGGCTTGCCAGCCTCCTTAATTTCGCGAGCCAATTGCTTAAAATAAAACTCCTTGCACACAGTACTCTTCCATTACCCCTACACACCTATCTTACTGGTTCTATTTCTCTGAAGAGTCCTCACCAATACAGGGAAATTGTTTCATTTCATAGGTGCTCAATCATGGCTTCTCAGTTGAAAAATAAAATATTATTTTGTGTAGGTGTTTAAGAAAGATGGTATCATCTGGCACCTAAAGAAAATTATCCCAATGCTTGGCTCACTAGGATTTTACTTTTGTATGTCCTCTTATTCTGTTTTTCCCCTTTCTTTCTTGTTTTTAAATTCATTTTCTCTGATCTCTCCTGCATAAATTTTTGAGCTTGAATTCATTTCCAGAGATCATCGAAAGTATAAGATGTACATTTTAAGTTTCATTATCAAATTATCTTCCATTATGGATCAATATTAACATCCAAGAAGAAGTAAAATTTTCACATAATTGTAACAACTTGGGAAAAGATAACAGATATGAATGGTTAACATTACATGCTGTGCTTCAGTCATAAGGTCTTTCTCATTTTTCTGATTTGAAATAAATACACCAATTTCCAAATAAATCATTCAAAGCACACAGTTACTGTTTACTCATATATACATAATTACCATCAAAGGCTAACACAAAAATTGATGTACAATACAGTGAAGTTATGCATTTATTAAAAGTCCCAAAGCATTTAAATTTCAAAGTAGATAAATAAACATTACTATTATTTATTATAAGTTAATGTAGGTTTATATAGAATTGTAAGACACTTGGGTTTGTACCACATTGCAATGTAATTTTTAAACAATGTAACAAAAATAGGTACTTACACAAGAAATTTTAAATGGTGCAAACGTTATAGGGTCTTCCCCATACAAAGGCCAATAGCGCTCACATTTTTTCTGTTGTCAAAGAAAAAAAGGTAAAATTTTGTGTTTTCCTGAGATTAGCAGGCAAGGAACTAGCAGCGATAAATAAGCCGTATTCTAGTATCATTAATGCTCAGTCACTGGGTCCTCACTAAGGTTGGTTCTGAAAACTTAATGAGTAACAGTGTGTAAACTGTCTGCCACTACCTCCTATGTTTCCGGGGTACACCAGATTTCTCCCTTTAAAAAAGAAAAAGTGCTTTCAATAAGTAGCCAGCACATGGAGGTCCATTAAGGAGACAGAGGTCCAGCACAAGTTTTAATGCTCTAATGTGACAATCTCTAGCGCCCTGGCTAAATTCCCATGAAGTGTAAATTCCAGAACACAGTGGAAAGAGAATATTTTGCTTGGTATCAGAAGAATTCTCCAAGTATAAGTTTTACTGTTTTATTGGCTGCTAATTCTTTATCTGTAAAAATAGGAACAATAAAGCCAAGCATGGTGCCACATGCCTATAATCCCAATACTCAGGAAGGCTGAATCAGGAGGATCTCTGAGTTTGAGGTCAGCATAGGATACCAGTGAGCTCAAGGCCAGTCTGAATTACATATAGAGATATCTCCAAAATACTAATAAAGGGGCTGGGGATTTAGCTCAGCGGCAAAGCGGCTGCCTGGCAAGCGCAAGGTCGTGAGTTCGGTTCCCGGTACCGGAGAAAAACCAAAATAAATAAATAAATAAACAAAATACTAATAAAAAAGGAACAATAACCTATATTTTATAGGATTATTTTGTGTACTAATTAAGAGTGTATTTCAAATGTTCTAGTGACGTAACAAATCCTAAGTATAATGTAGTATTTTAGCTATCCAATTTTATTTGAGATTACAAGTATAAGCAGTTTCCCATCTTTCCTTCCCTTTTCAAATTGGTACAGGAATAGTGCAACACAATTTTCATTGGTTTCTAACACCAATCCCCTTGATTTCGAAAAGTAGGTAAGTGAATAAAAAGCCTAACCTGATAGAATACACAGCATGTGGTGATTTCTCGTTCTAGGAAATGATGCAATTTTTATGAAGATCCAATAAAATGAAAGCTTATAATTTACCATCTAGCTTAAAATATACATTCTAGCAGTAAAAACTATATCAATTCATGAATTAAGTTTAATTGATAAATAAAATATTGTATGTGTTAAGTGGGGTAACATGATACTTCAATAGATGTATACATGTGTAATGTTTAAATGAGGTTAAATATACCCATCGACTCATTTATCATTTTTATGATAAAAAATTATAAAATCTTTTCTTTTAGCTTCCTGAAATATATAGTACACTACTATTATCTAGTCACCCTACTAAAAAACCACAGCAGAAATTCTTCCTCCTAACCACAGTTCATGAATTTCTTTTCTTTTTTTTGAGACAGGGTTTCACCATGTAGTTCAGGCTGGCCTTGAACTCACTTTGTAGCCCAGGCTGGCCTCAAACTCACAGTGATTCTCCTGCCTCAGCCTCCTGAGTGCTGGGATTACGGGCATGGGCCACCATACCCAGCATGAGTTTTAAATTAAATTCTCATAGTTCCAAAAATAGTAAGTGGAGTCATTTACACTTATGAACTGAATGAACTATAAGTTGACTATACTGAATATATGGCAATAAACTAGACATTAATGTTCTAGACACTTAATGAAGTCACAGATTACCTCCCCAAACTCCTTTCCTAGCAGTTTTAAAAAAATGAAATGAAATTGTTTAGAGAATTGTTTTTTTTTTATTTTTATACTTTGATCCTCTATTTGGTAAGGTTTTAATCTTTTAAATTAAACAGAAAACAAGTTGTGGGAGATTACATTAGGCAGGAATGGAAAGCTGTATGGATAATATGCCGCTGACTCAGCTGAGAGTTATATTGGTGGTATAAAACTAGTAACACCTGATACCAAAGTTCTGTGCCAAATATCATAGATGCACAACCTGCCATTCTGCAAGGTGCACATTCACGTGGAGATGGGACCCTGAGGCTGCAACAGCAGACCACAGCATGGTCAAAGTGCTGAGGAAGAGTAGATTTCCCTGGGTCCTCATCTCTGCTCTTTCTGTTAGGTCACATTCAAGGTCAGATCAGCCAATAAATTATAAGTCTTTACTCAAAATCTAGTACAGGCTGAGAACTGCTAATCCGAAAGTCTGAAACCAGAAATGCTCTAAAAGTCAAAGATTTTTGAGCTGGTGCTCAAAGGTTTCAGATTCTGTAGGTTGTTCAGCTGGCAAAGTTTAGGCAATTATTTCAATATCTGAAAAACTCCAAACTCTAACGCTTTTGGTTCCAAACATTTCAGACCAGAGGGAGATCAATACCTCTCTCTCTCCCTCTCCCTCTCCTTTCCTTTCTCTCTCTCTCTCTCTCTCCCTCCCTCCCTCCTTTTGTGATGGATATGGCAGTTGAATCCACAGCCTTTGCACTGGGCTAATTCCTAGCCCTTTGGCTCAATCATTAAATTACTCAAGCTGGGCTCAAACTTTCAATCCTCCTGCCTCAGCCTCCCAGAGTATCACAGGCATGTGTCACCACACCTCACTTCAGACAAGAGCTCCTCACTTGGGAGAAGGGAAAGAAGGAGAAATTTTGTATGTATGTGTATACAGGATAGTTAACATAGTTGTTCTACTGTCTTCTACTTCTTTGCTGAAAGAAACTGTCAATGAGTCCTTAATTGATCAGTATTGCATGTCTGTTTTCATGAGAAACCCCTTTGAAGATATCAATATGTAATACAACAAGCATTGTTAATTTCCTACTACTTTGTTTGTAACTCTGTATTGTCTGTATTGTTCTTTTGCTATTTTGTAAAAGGTTGTCTGTCTGTTAATGTTTTCCTCCTTTTATTTTTAAAATTTTTTTTAAAAAAAAGAGCTCCTCACTTGGTACTAACAAAACACTAAAAATCACAAAATCTTTCCTTCAAGAAACTACACTCAGTATAACTTAATTTTTCATCAGGCAGTGTTACCCCTGAAAAATAATGAGCTCATTAACAGAATGAAAAGAAAAAGTCCTAAACCTTCACAGTAACCTAATATAAGCTGAGTAAAATTTAAATTTCCTAATGCAACCAATTAATAGTAACAGTGCATGCTAACAATACCTGAATGGTTTTATTGTTAATTCCTAAAGTATATTTCCTAACTTCAGACTGTTCATTTTCTGTCCAGTATTATCTAATGTGTATACAGTATAGTTCAGGAGGATCAAGTAACAGAAATTATGTTAAAATGTTTCCCAATTATTTATATAACATTCCACATAACTAAAAGGCAGAGTAACTTCTTTTTTGTAACATATCCATTACTGAAATGTAGCTTTAAGAATTTTTACCTCTTAAAAATGATTTTTAGTTTACTAACAAACTACATTGCAACAAAACCTCAAATAAAATAAAATCTGTACATAACTTGCACTTCACATGTGTGTCCTATGTTTACAGAAGGCCACATTTGAAGTTTTACTTAAGTACCTAGTTTTAAATAAACATATTATTTCCTAAGAAGACTTCAGAAATGACACTATGGTTTCTATATTTTAAAATTAACTTACACACAGTATCAGATTAAAAGAAAATCAGAGTGAGGAATTTTCTTATCTAAGCTTTGAAGATAGAAAAAACAAACAAGATATTGGTATTTTCATAGGGGTATAATCAGAATATTCAAGGTATAAATTGGTGATAAAGAGATTTACAGTATTTAACACATTCTCACTTGTTTAATTTTATTCCTATTTTTAAAATATTTCTCTACTTTAGTCCATAACTGGTGTTCTACTTAACACTGCAAAATATTTGAAGACTACTAAGTAGCAATACCAAATTATTTTAATTATATCATAAAACATACTTAGAAAATGTTTAAAAATTATTTGCTTTAGAGATTATTTTATTCTTTGTATCACATAAAAGCAATAGCATAACACAAAAAAGTAATTGCTTTAATTACTTGGCTTTAGGCTAGCTATCCTAAGAAAGTAAGAGGCTAATCTAACTGTAAAGATGAAAAACTATGAATAGGTGTACGTACCCTGCCCATCTCGAATTCCCGGCAAGCCATTACAATAATCTGAAAAGGTGAAGGGGCAGAGTAAAGCACGTATCATTCAAAAACAACGCAATCAAAATATGAAATCTCAGGAAATACTTTCACCCTGTAGAAAAATACACATGACCTACCTGAAAAAGTCATTTTAATATCAAAAGCATATCTTTTAAATAAGGGCTAACTATACAGCAATAAATGGGAGTCCAATTAATGTGGCTTAATTTGACTTTTGAAATGATATTAAAACTCCATTTTAGAATATTTACCTAATTAAACAGTGCTTTTTAGTCAATACTGATTATGCAAAATAATTTAGTAGTGCTGTCTAAAATTTAAATGCATTAAACTTAACATTGTCTTTAAACGTATCTTTAGAATTACTGTATTTCTGGACTCACTAGGTTTCCACGGAAAGAAACCTACTGCAGCGTCCTCAACAGAAGAGTAAGAACTCCTTGTTTCTGATTTTCCATCTCCACGCAACCAACAGCACCAGCAGGCAAATGCTTTGGTTCCAAGAGTACAAAGCAGAACAGGGTGGCTCTTTGCAGTGTCCCAACTTACTCACTTCCTTGCTTCCAAACCTCGCAACACTGTTCCCCTCATCCAGGGGGAGCAGGGAACTGAACTGCCCACACTTTGATACGCTCCTAACTGAGGTCTTGGGGGAGGGGGGAGGCCGCCGCACACTTTCTCTTACACGTCACCCAATAATTTATAGCTATGTGCTCACTGCCCGAAGGGACTCACAAGGGGCTCAGACTAGAAAAACGTGAAGAACGTAAGTGCACTGACAAGCATTTCACTGACCCGAAAAACACTATTTCCTGCCTTTTTAAAGTTATTTGGTGACTGTCTCATCAGTCACCAACTTAGGGCAAGGTTTAAATTACTACCATACTCTCTTCTTCCAATACTGAGACTGGTCCGTCAGAATTTAATGAGACATCCAAGAAATCAGTTTTGTCTACTTTGTAAACGTTAGCAATAACTAAACATAGTACCATGGCCGAAATGTCCTCTCCTTCCTTAGTCAGTGAACACCCTATGTCATTACATAAAACTTCTCAAAATGTATTATGAAATGTGAAGTACTTACTACAACATTGTACTCCCATATCATCCTCCAAAAATCTATTACTGTATTTGCTAAAGGTCCTTGGGTTGCCACATACGCTTTCGGCCCATAGACACCCTAAAATGGTTAAAAGTAAATTTCACATTTATAATGATTACCACAAATACTTGTTATCTAAATTTTAACATTTCAAACTTATTAGTGATAGTGTTTTTATCTAAAGCATTTTAAAATAATTTTTCTTCATACTACATAAAAACATGGCAAAAATACATCAATTCACTTCAGCTTCTGGTAACTGTTACTATTTTTTTGAGTTTATTAGACATGTTTACAAATTCATATTTAAGGACACCTTTATACTATTGAAAAAATATTACTTACCTAAGAATTAAAAACAAAAGTCCTAATACCTAGTCAACAAAGCTGACAGGAGAAGAATATAAAAGCAGGCGCTGATTCTAAAAAGAATATTTCAATCAGTTCACAGTTTCTTCTTAACTACTTTCTTCCATGGCTACCTTTCATTATCTATTTACTCAACTTTAAGTTTACTGAACTCCTACTATGAAGCTTTTAAATAAGAAACCCAAGAATAGACCAGATATGACCGTGGACTAAGATAAACACTGGTACAGAAACTGAGTCATACAGTGAATCAGTGTCATTAAACACAATTAAAAACTAGAACTTTTAACACGTCCTTATAAAAGAATGTGAATGTTGACAACACTTAAAATAGTGAACTACCTATTTAGTAGTTTTTGTTTAATCTATTAATTTTGGCTTTTACTGCAATTATAATGAACTACCTACAAAAAATTTTTGCAACCATGACTGTTCAATATTGACGAAGACAGTACTGACTTTAACACATAAACTATTAATACCCAACAATTTTGTCAACATTGTAAAAAATTTTGTGATGCTTAAACATTAAATATAACTTGAAATAGTACTATTGTATAATTAGATTACCAATCAAAGAGCTTACAGAACAAATTAGAGCCTTTCATTTAGCTAAACAAGTGCACTTTGTAATGTCATTTTCTATTAATAACTGTATAATAACTTGCCTACTTTGGTCAAAGGGTAACCAACTTTATCTTTAAAAGAGTATATTTAAAGCCAGGTATGGTGGTGCATGCCTGTAATCCAAGCACTGGGGAGGACTGCTACAGCAGGAGGTCAAGGCCATCCTGGGCTACATATTGAGCTGAAGGACAGCCTGAATACATAATGAGACCCTGTCTCAAAAAAACAGAACAAAACAAAACAACTGTATTTAAACTTGGATGTGATTTATCACTTAAAATATAGTAGTAACAATTCTTAAATGTCTGTTATGCTCTATAATTTTAAATTGGTATTTCCCAGTAAATACAGCCCTACTCATTTATCCTAAAAAACTATTCACTAGAACAAAGATTTTCTGTGATAACTGCTTTCAAGAAAAAAATGGAAACAAGCTACATGGTTCAACAACAGGGTATGACTATGTGCATTCGTATTGCTAAATTCAAGAGGTCATTTAGAAGATGAAGTTATAACAAGGAGTATTTACAGGCCTTCAATGGAAAAGAAGAAACAAAACAGAAAAGCATTTTTGCAATCACAAAACTAAGTAAAATCTGCATGTCTATACGAGTATAGAGGATGGGAGGAAGGCACAAGAAAATGTGTGAAGGCAGTGATCGTCTTTTTGTTCCTTTTGCTGTTAAAACCATGCTTGGGCAACTTAAAAAACTTTACTAAAACTGGTATATAAGAAGCAATTAAGATTACAAAAAAAAATCACTTAAATACATACCTTAATAAAATTTGCATTGATATAGTCTGAATCTTGAGAAGGAGTCTTTAAAGTCAACTTAACTCTGCTGTGATCAACTACAAGGAAAAGGAAAAAAACTGCATTAGTTACATCAGGCTAGCACTCATGAACTTACTAATGAAGGGTAAGGAAGGTTAAGAAGACACGCAGAACGTTTACCTTTTCCTCGCAGTACCGGGAATGGAGGGCAGGGCATTGTGCGTATCAGGTGTGTGCTTTGCTGTGGGGCCACATCCTCAGCTGCCATTGCTCTATTTTCACACAAGGTCTTGCTACGCTGCCCAGGCTGCCCTCAAACCTGCCATCGCCCTGCCTCAGTGCCTGGTATCAAACTGAGGACCTCACACATGCCAGGCAAGTGCTGTCCACTGAGCTATACCCTAGCTTTTTTTTTTTTTTTTTTTTTTTAACTCTGAAAGGGTCAACTACAATGAATAACTTACTTTCCCTTGGTCCAAACTGTATAGACAGTACTAAGGTCCAGTTCTGCTAACATATGACTTTTGATGAAATCTCATCTAGAAATTTATAGGAGGAGATATACAAGACACACAGGCCCTTCATGAAAATTATGCACCTTGTGTGTACAAGAAAATGTTTCTATGTTAATCAATGCTTTGTTAATTTATTTCATTCATCCTACATATCCTACCCTCTTTCTATGCCATCTGCCTTAAGAAATGTGCACACCCAAAAACCTGCTGCTTCTGGTAAATGAGAATATCCAGCTGTTAAGACTGATGCTAACAATGGTGAAAAAACCACACAAACCTTCTCCTTGCCATGTGCCAGTAAGAAGCGGTCCAGAATACTTCCTCTTACTCACACAGCCCATCGGTCTCTAGTCGAAGTATTTCAAAGCAGAGTACAGCAAGCAGCAGGCTTACCAGTGGATTCCCCACAAATGTTTCTGCTGTCATGAATCCAAAGAAGAACTGTGGCTCTCAGACGACAGACTGGCTGCCTGCATGGCAGGCTGGCTACATGCAGGCTGGGAATTTGTGTTTTTAAAAAAAGTTTTCTAAGATGAAAAAACTAAAGCATATACAAAATAGAACTGTGTAACGAATGCTCGTACATCTACTACCCACCTGCAATAATTAATGTTTTTGCCAGTCTTCTTTCATCTACTGCCAATTCAACAGGTGGAGATGGGGAAAGTAAATTAAAACAGTAAAAGATTTTTGGCAGTCTATATTATACACTAAGTTTGATTCAGTAAGTTCTTATTGAAAACTCCCCATTTACACTCTAAAGCACAAACATACTAGCCCTGGCCTTATATCGTAGGGGCACAGTATATTATTAGGAATTCTAAAATCATTATTACTTTGGTCATGTAACACATGCACATATATATATTTTAATGTTTTCACTGGTGTTATTAATCATAAAAAAATCTAAATATGTAAGAAAAAACAATTTCCTTTCCATAATTCTGCTGACTGCCTCTATAACCTCCCAAGAGTCCAAATTCAAAAAGATAAATCAATACTGGCCACACACAAGTCTCTAAAACAGTACCCCTGCCCTGTACTGAACAAACATTAACAACCAGGGGCAACAAAAAGAAAAGATATAAATACAATCACCTCCAAGGAAACAGAGCTATTAATTAAGTCTTAGCTCTGGGAAATGAACATTGGACTAGGCAGAGCACCCAGACTCAGGGCTTCTAAAGGACAGCTTGGCTTTGGCAGACAAGGTGGGGCGTCTCTAGATCAAATAGTGCAGAACTTCCTCAATGTGCTGTCTGTAGCCAGGACAGTTCAAAGACTCTTACAACTTAGATTTTTTTCTTTTTTGGTGTGGTCCTGGGGACTGAACCCAGAGGTGCTTTACAGAGCTCCATTCCCTAGCCCTTTTTATTTTGAGACCGGGTCTCACTAAACTGCCCAGGCTGGCTTCCAACTCGTGAGTCTCCAGCCTCAACCTCCTGAGTAGCTGGGCTCATAAGTGTACCACAATGTCTAACCTACCACTCAATAAGATTTAAAACAATTTTTAAATGTATAAATGATTTGAATAGATTTCACCCAAGAAATACAAATGGCTTATAGCATAAGAAAAGGTACAAATGAGAACCATGAGAACCACTAAATAACTATAATCAAAGCTTCCAAAGCCAGCATACTGTGCACTCCTAGCAGCCCCAGCTGTTCAAGAGGCTGATATGCAAGGAACACTTGAGGCAGGAGCTCCAGATCAGTCTGGGCAACATATTGAGAAGCAGCCTCAAACAAAGAACCAAATGAAAACCTGATGGGGTATGTTACGATGGGGATGTGAAAAGGCTGCACCCCTTCCGTCACCGCTGAAGACAGAAAATGGAGTAGCCACTATGCAATACAGCTTAGCAACTTCTTAAGAAGTAGACTGTAAGCTTCTAAAGATTCAACAATTTAATTCCCAGTATATATCTAAGGTAAGTAAAATCTCACATCCACAGACTTATATGGAAATACTTATAGCAGCACTGTTCGTAATGATTATCAGCTGGTGAATGGATTAAAAAAAGTGGTATATCCATACAATGAAATATTCCTCAACAACAAAAAGGAACAAAGTACTGATATATCAACACAACTGGATCTCCAAAATATGCTAAAAATGAAAGTCAGGCACAACAGACTACATATTGCATGATTATGTCTGTATTAAATTTTAAAAAAGAACCTGTAGAAACAGCAGATTAGCAATAGAGATTAGCAATTACTAATACTGATGACTACAAATCTTTTGGGAGTTTTGGAATGTCCTGAAACTGGATTATGCTAATTGCTTTACAACTTTACAAATTTACTAAAAAAAAAAAAAAGTCATGGAATTATACAAATCAGATCTCAGAATTATTTAAAAAATGTTTTTGCAAATACTGGACATGTTGAACACTCAAAGGAAACTGGCAAATTATTTTTAACAATAAGTAAATATGTATCTATAAATATAATTACTTTCAATGTGATTTGCCAAATCAAAATAGGAAGCTTATTGGAAATCAACTTCTCAAATCTTAAATATTCTAAAGAAAAAAAGGCTGTCACTTTTGACTCTAGCCCAATAATGAAGAGCTCAGAGCAGCAGCTGGCTGATGGTTTTCATCAAAGCTCTAAAAGGTTCGCCATCACTGCTGCAGGACAGGCCATTCAGCCTCCGGAACACTAAGGTGGGCGGGCTGCATCCATGCACTGTTGGGCGTGTAGCACTATCCCTAGACTCTACACACCTCTAAACCCCAGATACGACAGTCAACTGACACTCTGAGGGGAAAACCATTCACTCTGACAATCACTGTTTTGCGTATCAACTGCCTTCACTTAAATTCTCACTCCAAACTACTGACGCTATGCAGTCATTTAGTCGCTGCATCTCGATGTCCCACCTGTAGAACGGCATACACTAGCACCTGCCTCATAGTTCTGCTGTGATGACTACCATAAAAACCCATTTATCCCAGAGATCAGTAAACAATGTAAATCAGTGCTTTTATTTTTCAGGGGCAAGCTTAACAGCTTATCACTAACCTCCCCCTTTATTCAAAATTGTTCTCCTATTCCCAGCTTTGCCCAGGTCCCTGGCTCCTGCTTTATTATTCTCGATAGCACTAATCATCACCTAACAGACTATGTATGCTAATTTGTGCTTACTGTTTACCACCAAGACTAGAATGTAAACTACACAAGGGCAGAGATTCTTGCCAGTGTTGTTTCTGCCCATAGTATACACCTAAAACCTGGAGCCATTTAAGACTTCTTTCCCTAGATGACAGAAAAGCGACCTATCTGATCCCAGAGAACACCACCTCCAGATGATCTGTCCCTCAAGGAAGTGTCCAGAAACCCATGGCAAATCCTGGTCCCACGGTCCAAATGCTCACGTCCTCCCAAATGCCTGTACCGATGCCGAAACCTCTGCCACAGCATGAGAGGCAGGGCACTAGGAGGTGACTGGTACCCTCAAGCCCACAGGAGAGCACACAGGAAGGGGGGCCCTGACCAGGCGCCAGGCTGTTCAGCTGGTGCCACGACCTTGCACTTCCCTGGCTCTAGCACTGTAAGAAACATTTTTGTCATTAGAAAGTCACACAATTTACAGTACTTTTTTGTTACAGCAGCCTGAATGGACTGAAACATCAAACAGATGGTAAGAAAAGTGGGGGGTGTTTTGCAAAGCCCTAATGAGTACAGTTACTGTGCTAGATTAATATAAAATCCTTAGACCTATCTATCACTAAAAATAACCCTACAAACTATTATTATTTTCTCCATTTTACAGATGAGGAAACCCAGACACAGAGGATGAGACCAACATCTTACAGCTAACAAGGATTTGAACTTCCTGCCAGAGCTCTTCATCATTACCGTACGCTGCAACTTGTTAACTCTGCTAACACATTCCACAGCTGAGAAATGAAAGATCAGCCAGGAATGGTGCTGCCTGCATGCAATTACAGCTACCTGGGGAGCTGAGGCAGGAGGATCTCAAGTTCGAGACCAGCCTAGACATTCGGCAAGACCCTGTTTCAAAGTTTAAAAGTGGCGGATGTAGCTCAGTGGTAGTGCACTTGCCTAGCAGGAGCCAGGCACTGCATTCAATCCTCAATGTTGCAGGAAGAGGAAGATGAAGATAATTAAACTGGTGAGTAACAGAGGGAAGAAAGGAGAGGGAGAAGATGATGTAAACGACAGAGACCATAGGAGAAGAGAATTTCACAAACAGATACTGGCCAACGGTGTCAAAATACTTAACAGAAAAGAATGACGCTAAAAAAACACTGAATCTGGCAATGGAGAAAGCCTCTTGGAACCCCTATCAAGGATATGTTTTCTAAGCATGGGCTCAGAGATACTGAGGATGGCTGACAAATGAGGGTCAGAGGCATCTTAGGGTTCATTTCTTCATGCAAAGTTAAGGTTCTTATTGTGAACAGGTAACAAACAAACCAGTAATTTTAGCATTTTACAAAAATTTTAATACAATTAGCTTCTTTGGATGAAGAGTCTTTAAAAGATACTCTCATCTGGAATTCTGGTATTTAAAACAATTTACTATGAGAGCAACTCTGATGCGTAACAAAAAAACCACACACCAACAAAAACCAGTATCAAAAGGAAAAACAAGTACAATTACAAATGATTATGTTGTAGTGTACCTTGAAAAAGAGGTTAATTACTACCTCCTTAACAATCAAACTCAGGAAAGATAAAGGGTGTTAGGATACAAAAGGCTAATTGCATTTCTATTTGTTCCATCAAGGGCATTTCAAACTTACATGGCAGTATGTCCTTATATCTGTTCTTCTTAACATTCTCTTCTTTTTCTCCAGTGGCTGTGGGATATATCTTTTCTGTCCTATATTTGGTAGACAATCTTCTTAATCGCTTAAAATACAAGAAAATAAAATTCACATTTAGCAAAACATTGTTATGTTTAAAATGTTAATGACTCTCAAATAGCTCCTCATTAAATCTGCTGACCCGTTTCCTCGTAACTAATTTGCTTCTTGTTCTTGGCTCTTACTTTTCCCACCTCTTACTAATAACCTAAAAGACAGTTTCCTTTTAGCATAAGTGCAAACATAAGATTAGTACTTATTCCAAATGAGTGACAATGAAGAGAACAACCAGAATAAAAGTAAGTACCTTTATTTAAAGATATCGCAATAAGCTGAGTCAGAATATTACCTCACTCTTTAATGTAGTCAGGTAACTTCTGTTCTAAGGGTCTCAATAACCTAACCAAGTTTTAAAGTCATGCCTAAAAGAACTGTGCACCAGTTTCTTTATTCCCTCTCTCAGTACACCATGAACACCCATGATGTGCCAGGCTCTCCTCAAGGCATAACCTAATAATTACTTATAAGACGCTGCAAAACAAGGTTCTTTCATATTGGGTTGGAAATGTCCAACAAAGACCAATTCTGCTTATTCATTGCATTACAGAAGTGGTTTGTGGGTTAGTGACAAATTCTTACCACATATGGCATTAGGGATGTTCTTTGGGCTGGAATATTTCTGTGTGTCAGTAATACACTTCCTGCTTTCAGAAGAACTGAAAGTCGGCATTGTGAATTGTTTAAATTCTACTCAACTACATTGCTAAAATTTAATTTCAAAGAGGCCTACTTTCTTTCAGGCTTAAAGACATATGGAAAGCATTCTGGTTCTCCTACTTCAACAAATTATTAAATACAAATGGAACGAAAAAGAAGTCTTTTCCTCTATTTATTTTTTGCTTGTGATGCCGATATTTAAGTGACTAAAAATATTAGGTCTGTATTTTTAAAGTCAGAATTTCAATACAAGAATTTTGTCTTAACCACTGCTATTTTTAAACCTAAAGCACTTGAAATAATTTCACAAAGATGCATATAGAATGGTTAACTTTTGACTACTAAATTTTATCATTATAACCTTAGAGATCTGAAACAGGAATATACATTTTTTTTTAAGATGAAAAGCGTTATTATAATCTTGTTCTGCAAAGCACAATACCAAAGTAAAATTTCCTATACATATGCTGCTTTTCCCCGTGGTAATAAAGTCCTCAAAGAATATATAGGTGCCAGGTGGGGGTGGGGGTTGCAGTCAAAAGTAAAGCTGTTGGGGAGCGGGTATGAAAATCAGAACTTTGCTATAATACTGATGGAAAAGAACAGAGTACAAGCCCTCAGGAAGGGAAACACACATCCCCTCTCAGCCCAGGAACTGTGTATTTCTACAAGTCTGTCCTCCAGATGAAATGGGTACACATGCGAAGTGATGTATGCACAGGGTTATTTATTGTCACAATGCGTGTAACAGCAAAAGACTGCACACACTTAAGTAAACTCTATTATTAGAGGACTGGCTATATAGATTTGTTTCATTCATACAAATATAACACTGTGGGAAAGCAAAAGAGGAAGCTATCTATATACAGTAAGATAGCAACATTTTAAAAAAGTGCAAAAAGCAGAGAAATAGTAACAGTGTATGTAATATCCTACTACTGGTGTTAAAAGGAAGTTAAAATATATTTGTATTTACTTGTACACATGCATAAAATATCTCCTGCTTGCCAAGCAGGCACTATGCTGCTGAGCTATATCCTTGGCCTTACTGTATGTTGTTTAAACCTCAAAAAATTAAGTGTAAAATAATGGGAAAGTCAGAAAGACTAGTTTATGATTTCATTACTCTATACTAACAAATACCTTGCATATTTAATCAAATTTTTGTATTTTCTCTTCTCAGATACCTGAAAAGGTATTGTTCCTGAGAAATGTACAAAGCTTTTATGTGAAATGACTTTACTATGTAATGGACCTTGAGAACACTTTTGTGTCATGAATAAATATTTGAATTTTCATGTATCCAGTTTTCTAAAAGCCTGGAACACCATGGGATGCTTTACTATACATAAGTTTAAAATAAAGCATGTTATCACAGAAGAAATAAACCGAACCCAACTACCACCTGCTGAGTTTTGCACAATATCAAAGCTCACAATGCACATTTACCTACAGAGGCTTTGAGAAGAAACCTCTGCTTACAGTGGCTCCCCTGAGTAAGGCCAGCAGCGGAGAGGCCTCAGGTGACCTGAGAGTGCAGCCCATGCTCCAGGCAGAATGTTGAAGATGTAAAATGCACAGCAACGCCACTCTTTTCATTTATTGTTTTTGTTTTAGAAAAGCTATTTTAATAAAAATGTTTGTTGAAAATATTAAATAAAAAAAGAACATCCTATGCAAATAAAAGCTTATCTAACTAGTATACTTCCACCTGATCTAGCCATTACATTTTACAAACCTGTCCTGACAGGTTGTACCTCATACTCATGCATAATGCTGTTTTGATATATGTAACGCTCAGACCCATCACAGAGTTAAAACTTTGTTTAAAAATCAACATGAAGAAAATTTTACTCAACTGTACTAAAAAAGTATCTTCAAGTAGAGACTTACTCCCTAAGCTGCATCCCGTAAGTCAGGTTTACAGTTAGCTGCTAGAATGAGAATTCTGGGTCTGCTACTTTCAGTCACGTGACATTGAACATGTAACCCCTCGGTGTTAAGGGACAGTCCCTGTGCACCGAGCAAAGAGCACAGCGCCTACAACGGCTCAATAAATTATTACTATTACTGGAGTTCATTACTGAAAATCTAGTTCTCATTCTTTCATTCATAACCTTTCCTTGATTGAAGATCAAGAAGTGCCACATACTGCATTCTGGGCCAATCTGTCTGCCTGGAACTTGCATCCGGAGGGGCAGTTTGTCTACCAAACTTAGCTGGCTTCACAGCTGGAGGACAAGACTGCTAGGGCTCAGCCCTAGTTTCTGATTCAGTAGGTCTAGGGAAATGCCTGAAATCTTGCATTTTTAGAGAAGTTCCCAGGTGCTGCAGTGCCTGCTGTCTGTGACTTGAGAACCACTAGCATAAGGTATCTAGGTTCCTAGCACTGACTAATTAGCTTGCAGATGGAGGCTGATGTTCAACAATCTTTTAGGTTCCTCTGTGCTTTCTATAGAGACTGGCAGCACCAAATAATTTTGAAAGAAAGGCTTCATGCACAGCAAAGGAAGCCAAAGTGAAGAGACGCCCTACAGAATGGGAAAAGTTTTGCTAGTTACTCCTCAGAGAAAAGACTAACATCTAAAATATATAAAGAAGTAAAAGACAATTACACCCCTATTTAAAGACCCAGTGGAAAAAAATTGGCATCTGAAATATACACTTCTCAGATAAAGCAATACAAATGGCCAACAAATATATGAAAAGACATTCAATGTTGCTGGCCATTTGAGAAATAAACTGAAACAACACTGAGATTCCATCTCACTCCAGAAAGAAACCAACCAACAGCTAGCTGGGTGTAGTGGTGCACACTGGTAATCTCAGTACTTGAGAGGCTGAGGCAAGAGAATCGCCATAAATTCAAGGCTTGCCTGGGCTACAGAGTGAGTAGAAAGACTGCTGGAACTATAGTGAGGCCCTGCCTCCAACAAACAAACAAACATATAAACAAATCGATCCAAAAAAGAAATCAACCAATGACAAATGCTGGAGAGGCTAAGGGGAGAAAGGAACCCTAGAGGCCCTGCCTCCAACAAACAAACAAACATATACACAAATAAATCCAAAAAAGAAATCAACCAATAACAAATGCTGGAGAGGCTAAGGGGAGAAAGGAACCCTCCTTCACTGTTGGTGGAGTGTAAAGTGACACAGGCACTATAAAAAAAAATCAGTATGGAGAGTCCTCAAAAAATTAAAAGAAATTCCATTTGACCCAGCTATTCCCCTTCTAGGTATCTTGCCAAAAGAGTTAAAGACATCATGCCACAGTGATATATACACACCCATGTTTACAGCAGTGTGATTCATAATAGCTAAATCTTGGAAATAGCCTATATGTCCACGAACAGATAAATGGATTAAAGTGTGGTATTTATACACAATGGAGTACTACTCTGCCATAAAAAGGACAAATTTGAGTCATCTGTATGAAAATGGATGCATCTTGAAATCATAATGTTAAGTAACTCACACACAAACTTAAATATTTCTCTTACATGAAAAACTCTATATATTATATATATATATGTGACAAATAATAGGAAAAAAAAAGAAAGAAAATAAAAGTATTGTAACCTAGCATGGCCAATGTATCTGAAAGTGTACCTTGACTTAAGTAAATTCTTATGTTTTATTATGTTCTTTGACCTATTAGTCTGATTTTCAATCTGAATACATAATAATTATGAGGCCTTGTAAGATAAATGAAATCTGACCCTGGAAAAATAAAAGTGGGCGGAGCGAGGGGGGAGAAAGGGAACTGAACTGTGTTATGTACCCACACCAATTTCCTACAGTGAATGTGACCATCATGTACTGAAACATGGACTAATGAAAGTTTTTCAAAAATTAAAAAAGAAAAAAGTACTTTGGGATTTTTTGCATGAAACTGGAGAACTAGGGATGAATAAAGAAAAGTTATCAAAGGCAAAAAGAGTAGTGGGGAGATCACAGTTGAGCAGCAAAGGAAAGCAAAAAGCACAGGCTGCTAAAAAACCAAAGGAGCATAAATAAGAGCATTAAAAGGTTCTGAAGAATGGCAGACAGGAAAACCTAAACTCTCCTCTGAATCAGTTTCCCAACACATACAAGTAAAACACCAGAATCATCAGTCCAATGCTGTACAGATGGCAGTAGCTGCCAAAAGTCACTATGAAAAGCCGCTTTCCAATATTCTACTGGAAAAAGCTCGCCTGGCGATTGTCTTGGTTACTTTTCTCTCGTTGCTGAAACAAAACACCCAATGCCCAAAATTAAGGAAGGAAAAGTTTATTTAGCTTATACTTTGTGGAGGTTTCAGTCCATACTTGGCTGGCTCCAAGGCAGAAGATAGCAAAGCAACAAGAGCAAAGCG